AAGTACAAGAACTAAACTCTAAACTAATCAAAATTTCCGCTCTCTTATTTAACAAATAGTTTTTTAACGGAAGACTGCTATGATTATCACGAAACTTGCATTTGTTAAAATAAAGAATAGTTATGTGTTCACATTCAGAAAGAAATTCAAACAATGCGCTTGAATCAACAGGCGTAAAAGAAACGCCATCAATTTTCAATTCTTGAGACAAATTTTTAAACGCTGTGCCAGCTGACCTCATGACATCTTTGTCCTGCAACTCGTATAAGCACTTTATTCCAAGAAAACCAAGGATTTTATCGCCGTCCTTGGAAAATAAATTTGAAATCCAGTTTTTAAACCTACAAAATCAAAATACATAACTTATTTGTAAGGGTATATGCAATGTTGCATGACAGGAATTTATTGGCTAGTGCAATAATTCAAGGCCCATTTTAAATGTCCACCCATGTTGCATCTGTTGGATGCATTAAAGTCAATAGAAATGATAAGATAAAATTCTCAATTTTCTTTTGTTTTAAATGCGTTTGGCTTTTGTAATATTCAACGTATGAAACGTGCTTACAATGGTGACGTACACCATTTAAAAGTTTGACCCAGAACTATTCTCGGTCCGTCTAACATAAATCCTTTGGTAATCAAACTAAAGATTAAAGTAGCCAACGAAGTTTCAAAAAACAAATTTTTCTTAACATGGGACTTTGCTTTAAATCGTTAATACCGATTACTCAATTTTTTCTCTTGAAATGAAAGAAGCTCTTTTTACAGTACCGCTCGCGTATTTGTTAACATAATTTTGCGTATGATACGCGTATCATACGCGTATCGTTCTCGTATCATACGCGTATCGTTCTCGTATCATACGCGTATCGTTCTCGTATCATACGCGTATCTTTCTCGTATCATACGCGTATCATTCTCGTATCATACGCGTATCCTTCTCGTATCATACGCGTATCCTTCTCGTATCATACGCGTATCCTTCTCGTATCATACGCGTATCGTTTCATTTTATACGCATGTCTTTCTCGTGTCATACCCGTATTACTTTCTTAATATTCTCGTATATGGTCTCAATATAGTTTGGTTTCATCTATGTACACAAATATAAGTATAAAGTTTTCGAAAACTTTGCATATCTACTTAATTATGAATGCAATGCTATGTTGTTTATGTCTTTTCGTTTGATGTTCATATCTATAACACGGACTCCCGCTATGATGAAGAAAAACTTCAGCATCTAAAGGATTAAGTTTAGGACATGAAAGCAACAACACTATCACAAATCGAGAGACAAGTTTATATTATAGAAGAATTTATTGAAAACTTATTGGTGTGGAAAAAAACCAATTACAAAAATTATTAAGTGCATTATACTAAAATAGTTTACTTACAATATTTTTTATTGAAATGTTTATTTCTAATATAAGAATCAATCGTTTGAATACACCGAGCCCAAATTTTCGTTAATTTAACCTGAGTATCAGAATAATATTTAAATACACACTCTTTTGAGATTCATTCGAAGTTGCGTGTGCTATAAAAATAACAAACGACACACTAACAATTGCTTTGTAGCGCAATGATGACATAAAAAAGTGTCAGTATACACTTAAGATATTTAATTCCCGAAATAGTTTAAAGGCACGATATAGCAAAAGAATTTTTTAATAGATGATCTTATATATTCATGTATATGTAATGCATTAATAAATTTTGAGTTGCTTTTGCAATGAGCTGCGATTGTCTCACGTCGTATCTATGTATACATATGACTCATCAATGACGTGTTGAATAGTTTGTGACACATTCTTATATAAAAACACGGAAACTCATTGTGATAACTTTCTTGTGAGTTTCATTCGAAGTTGCGCTTGCTATCATCAGCTCCTTTTATTCTCAACATTTGTCTACATTGCATTTTCGATATTTTGGGTGAGGATGCTACGAAAATTTTTCCTGGGCATAAGGTGATAAACGTGTCCCCGCAGACATGACAAATTAGTTTTAACACGTGCGTATCTACGTCCGCAATCTCTGAAAGTGTCCGTATTGAATGAATAGTGGTTTCATGCGACAAAACATGAAAGAAGCCGTACGATACGCGTATCGCGTATATCGTATTTTACTCCTTTGAGCGCTGAATCTAAATCTCTAAAATTTACAGAGCACCGCGCTCAAACGATTTATTATGATATGGCTTTTTGTCAATTGCCTATAAAGTCTATCAAGTGACAGTTGGCTATTCTGTATTTCTCGAGTAGACGAGGAACTTTGTTGTGAATGTGAGTTTACAACGTAGTTGGATTCGATAGTTGATGTTGCAAGATACACATCCATATAAGCATGTTATTAATAAACGTGTATTCTATTCGTATGAATCGAATCGTATTTTAATAAAAGGCACGTTTCCTCGTGATATAATAAACGCCTTAAATAAAACATTAAAGTCGATAAGAAAATATTACACAGATTTCTGAAAGTACATAAAACATTAGCTTTAAATTTTGACCAAAATTTATCCTGAAAAAATAGTAAAATAACATAGAATTCCATACCAGGTATACTTCGTACGCAATATCAAAAAAAAAACCAACGAAATCGTTAACAATTTGAAAGCAAAATTGCTGCTCATTACGATGAACAAAGTTCTATCAAGTATCACAGCGTTTCATCCTGGTATCATATGTTCGCTTATCGTTCACGCATTATACGCTCATCATACGCGTATCCTTTTCGTATCATACGCGTATCGTTCTCGTATCATACGCGTATCGTTCTCGTATCATACGCGTATCCTTTTCGTATCATACGCGTATCGTTCTCGTATCATACGCGTATCGTTCTCGTATCATACGCGTATCGTTCTCGTATCATACGCGTATCCTTTTCGTATCATACGCGTATCGTTTTTGTATCATACGCGTATGTTTTTCGTATGATACGCGTATCATACGCGTAGCGTATGTTAACAAATACGCGAGCGGTAGGGGATCAATAAAACTAATCTTGACATAAATGTTCAAATAGCTATAACGCTCTCTTATTATGTTTATAGTAAATAACTTAGTAATTGTAATTAGATAATGTTTGGTTATACAATGATACTTTTTGGTTAACAGACAAGAATCTGTAATTAAAATTTTAACAATAATTGTAGCATATGTTTAGTTCTCCTCAGTTTGTGTTGATTGTTGTTTCTATGACAACGTGATGAATTGTTATATGTTGTATGACAAAAAAAATTTATGTAGAAATTTCTTTGAAAATGTATTTTGTAAATACGATAGAAAGACTTCCGACTGTCCGACAGTAAGTAAATTAGAAAACACCGAATTATTCAGCGCACATTTTTGTTCTTACGTGTTATGATTGTGTTTTAATCCATATTTATTTTAAAAAGAATAAGCAATGATCAACAAAATTTAGCAATTTTTTCTTGAATAATTTTGCCAGGAATAATGCTACAAATATTAGTTCTGTTGTCTCATTAGTCTGATTCTTACGGAGTTATGTGACATTAGCTATAAGAAGAAGTGCCCATTCCTTAAGATCAGTTCTGCAAGAACCGTTGCACGGTCAGTTTTCAAAAACAAACCATGAAACTCAAATCACATTAACCGGAAGGAAAAAATTGATGATGGATCAAGAGGAAAATCAAATGTAAAGGAACGTGCCACAGCAGTGGAAGAAGAATAGTTATTATTTGACATTGATGGAAGTTAAGTTGAAAATAGCAAAGTTGATAACAAAGAAAACCATTTCATGGCCATGATTGCAAAAACGATAGAAAACAAAATGAGTTTGGCCCTTACACGTCTCTCACGCTGCCCAAGAGAAACCAGCGATGGAATAGCGTTGTATAACAAACAATCTAAAAAATAAAATTCCCTTTGTGAAGCAAAAAAGTAACCTTTACTTTAGAAATGTTAACTGAGCTCAAAAATGATGGCGACGCACCAAATTCCTGTTCAAACATCTTAGTCGCTGAGGATGATTGACTTAGCAAAACTGGTGAATCTTACCGTTTGCATATTATCAACTGGTAAGTGTCTCGATTTTTTTTCGTTTGTTCACATTTCAAACGTCACGTTTTTCAGACAGAACGTCCGGTTTCAACTGGTAAACGTTACGTTTTTGGAAATCGGGGATTTCTAAAATTGTAACAGCTCTTTCATATGTTGTATGGTATCAAACTTTGCAAATGGCCTAAGATATACGAATGTAACTTTCAGTTGAAACAGCATTTTGTCAATGTAAAATCGTATAAATATATCAATAACATGACGAAAATCTGTTCAAATTGTTCCTCAACTTTAAAGTGGTACTAAAACGAAAATTTTGCCTCCCGTTTTTTTTTCATAGATTAATAGTGTATGTAAAAAAATCTCTTCTGGCGAAATTTTAGCGCAATGTATTTAATGCTGCTCGAGTTACGTAGCGATAAAACTTGTACTTTAAGAGCCGCCATTAAAATGCGCCATATTTGAATTTTCAAGAAGGAAGGTGCTTGTGACGTCATAGTCTTAACTCGCGGCTGTTTACAATATAACACTATATACAAATAGAGATATAAAAGGTTGTATAACTCAATTTTTTAACATACCTTCAACACGCTGTGTCGTGCAAGATTGCAGTAATACGTCTGATAGAAGTACAGGCATTTCATTACATAAAAGCCCAAACGAGGAGTCTTTAAGAAGAATTTGTGTTAAATTTGTTGAGACGAAGCGCGCAAACTTTAATCCGAGTTCGCGCGAAATTTGATTTATGATTTGTTCGAATCACTTCTCGGATGATTGTTTTGAGCGTTTTTTCCATTTGGGTGGTATGACTAGACGGCCCAAACCTGGTGCCGTACCTACTATTTGGAAGAAATCGCCAACACCAACAACGTCAAGAGAGCGGCGTCAGGTTAGCACAAGTTACAACTATTATATACTTACACATATTGCAGATGATAAATTTTCACAATTTGAGAGAACCAATAATACATCCAGGCAAACTTTCAATATATAATATACATTTATACTAAGGTTTTAAAGGAAATACAAAATGAAGTGTCTGTATCATGCATGAAGAAAGAAGATTCGTGCTATTTTCAAGAAGAAAAAGGCACAACTGAAATTCCAGACCAATCTGAGAATGATGCATACGTAAAGCAAACAATTGCTCTTCACACATACGTGCACTTCGTAAAACAACTATTCCTCAATATTCTTACAGGACCAACAGATCACGCCCGATGCTCTTGCACCATTGTGCAAGAAATGTGCAAAGCCTATGAAAGGTCACAAGAAGGGCAGTTGTCAATAATATAAATGTATATTTGTAAATTTTGTAAATATACCACCTATAATAGCTTTTTCCATCACCTTTTTACATTGCTATATGTCCTCATCCTCTTCGAATCCTTTGTAAGGAAGACACTTATTGTTCGGAAATGTCTTCCGTATTTTGTTGTAACAACAACAAGGCAGTGGCAAATGTCTGTAAAGTCCCATACAAGACGCACGAGTTGTCTGTACGATACTGCTCGAAAGAACCTATAAATTTCAAAAAGTAAACATAGACGCTGGCGCACAAAATAATATTTTTAGAATTTTCACAAAGAAAAAGGCTTACTCCTCTCTGGTCTTTTGACCATCTCGAAAAACGGTCGCATAACTGCGATGACCTTTGGTCTTTAAACCTAACGAAGCTGCTTGAAGAACAAATTCGTTCAGGCAAACTTCGTTAAAGCCAGGGTGATCCAAAATGCATTTCCTTTCATCGACTTCGAACTGATTCATTTTGCCACGGCATTGCTCTAACTCCATGCAGCATCGGCACTCTTGAGGGTTGACAACAAGATCCAACGAACAATGGCCACATTCACACCTTTAATATTGGCCAAATTGTATGTTTCCATAAAGTCATCATAGCTAACGGCAGACGATTCAGATCAAAGTAACACACTAAGAATGACATCTTACCATGAAGTAACATCAACACGGGCATCAAAACGATCTTGCAGCATGTCCTCAACCTGCTGTTCTTCTGCGACTGCAGCTTCGTACTCAGCAATTTCATCGGGCGTAGCAAGCGGTTCAATATTATCGGCAAATGGCAAAATTTCCGAATTAGATTCGTCCGAATTTGCCGTCATGAATTCCGATGAAGAAATCGATGCGTTTGTCTCGATCGAAGACTCAGAAAGCGAGCTAGATCTCGATGAATTTGACATTTTTTTGCTCTATTTATGTATTACTTTGTATACTTTCCAATGTGCACTTCTTGCTGTGTTAAGACTATGACGTCACAGACCTTTGCTGATTGCAAATATTCAAAATGGCCGATTTTAATGGCGGACATGAAAATTAGACATTTCAAATGTTCATAACTCCCTCGTTATACTATTATTTTTGCTTAAATTTTACGAAAGCAATAATTGATATGTGTTTAAACTATTGAATGCTAAAATCGATGATTTTTTAACGTTCAGTTTTTGTCTTAGTACCACTTTAAACATTCCTGAGCAAACGTTACGTTTCTAATTTGAAAGCGGTGTTTCGCCTGACGAACGTAACGTTTGAAACGCGAACAAACGCGAAATATTTAGGATACTTACCAGTTGAATGCAAATGGTAATTTAATGGTGAAAAAACGAAACAAACGTTGATCTAAGCCAGAAACTGGCAGATATTGTCAACCAATGTTAATCGTTTAAATTGAAAGAAACCAAATGAATACATACGATCAACCCAAAGAAAAGGTCACTGTGCCAAAGAATAAATCTGTGAAATTTCGTAATTACTGAATCATTCGATTTGCTGCTTGTATCCTAAAGTTGGGAATTTTCAGATGAAGCTTAGCAAAGTTGGAGTTGCAATTACTTAATCAACCATAGCGTAGCTGATATTGTCACATTGCAAGCTGAGCATTCGATTTGAGATATTGCAAAGCTAAACAAATACTTGAAAAGATGGCAATCCATAACACCAGTGCGTTAACACCACTTGGTGATATGTAAAAAGAGTTGTTGACTCGCAATCTTGAGCTTGTCAAGCCAAATTTAAATAAGGAATGTCGTTCCTTGTGTTCGTCTCAAATACCAGCGTAACGGAGCTCTTGTTTTACGAAGATTTACAGGCTCACATTCCTAGTATTAAAGTAATAAAGTTAGCAAGACAACTACGACCAGCTTAAAGGCTAATACTTACACCAATGTACATCGTCTCTATAAATGCAAGGGACATCACTCATAATGAAAATTATTTCCTCTCAACAAACACAACACAAACAGCAGCAGGCAGCATTTTTAAGGCAGGGTAGGGCAATAATTATTGCCCTACCAGATAAGCGAAAACCCAGCCTATATGACTGCAAAAGATGACAAAATTTTAAATTATTTCTCCGGTAAATTCTTTAATCTTCTATTCATTATTATTATAGTACTAAAGTAACTAAGTAAAGTCTTTTTCGAGCAGGTAGACTTTGTTTTATGATAAATGTGAGATTATAGCTTCAAATACTAAAGCTTTACAAATGGTCTCAGGTAAACAACTTGATTCTCACAGCCATTCTATCAGCTATATCTTGTACAAGACAAATCAGGTCTGGATTCCAGCAGGAATGTTGACAAGACAGATACCTTTAAGAAAGTCTTAAAAAGTCCTCAGCAAAATTGGTGCAGTAGTTCCGTGAAAGAAAGAAAAAGCGTATACATCTTGCCTAATTTCATGACTTCAAAAAATGGGCATGGGGTCCTTAAAACTGATTATTAATTTTAAAGGTTTAAACTAATTTATAAATATCATCATTACTAAATGGAATCCTTTGCTACTACTACAACATGATAAAATGCAATTGTTTTAAAGATGGAATTAATTTGAAGGAAGGCATGTTATTTTTTCCCACTTGTACCACAACATTGAAAATATTTAAAGTTTCCAGTCGTGAAAAATTATATCAACTTTCCTGTACCCCAATAGTTTGTAATAAAACAAAAAGAAAATTTAAAAATGATTAAAGCCATAAACTTCTATTCGCAACAGCAGGGTTATATTTATGTTAGTCATTTGGATGATTATCGAAAAGGCAACGATTAATTATAATGACCTTTCAAACAATGCTTTAGATATGACCATGCAGGCTACTGAAAAATTCCAGTGTTTGACAAACACCCACAGAATTCATTATTTATAAAGCGAAGTTTTTGTGGTTCTTGATTTATGGATTGTATCTGTCCAAATAATTTTAACCAAAGAAAAGATAAGCAATGCAGAAACATTATGCTGTATACAGTTTACATGTTTTTATACAGTTTACCACTAGTATCCATCAGGTTACATCTGTCTAAGGATTATGAATCGCTATTTTTCTTTATGTCTAGTTTGAGCCTTTTATTTTAGACATTTTTTGCGCATAAAACTTCAGCATTGAAAAAATATTAACAAAATTTTTATAGATGTATGAATTTGGAAAATATCATGTGAGAATTGCAATTTTGATCAGGTTTGCTGACTGGTTTATTCAAACGGTCAGTGGCGTAACAGGGGTGTGTGCGAGTGTCAAGTGACGGGGGCTTAAGCATTATAACCCAAATAAGAATTACTATATAAATTAAGTTAATAAATAATTACATATATGAGAAATCAATAGCAATGCTATTATGTTACATCTCAGCAATTTTAGTATATTGTTGATAAAACATGATATTTTTGTAAAGGAGTCTTTATAAGTGAACTCTCAACAAAATAGCATGTACTTGTGGTATATTTGTACACAAAAAATGTCACGTATTTTAAGTATCTTCCTAGTTGTTTCTATTTTAAATCAAATCTTATGAAATTTTTATACTTGTTACGAAGGATCCATGAAATCTTATTTGCTTTATAAAATCTCATTCATGCTTCCACAAGCTGTTCAAAATGCAGTTTCCGCTTCTCTTCCTCTTATTTTAATTTTCTACGATTTTTCGGTATTAGATAGTGCTGTGGATGCTAAAGTACCTATTCTAGCTTAAATATATGAGATTTTCTTCAAATTTACAGTCTACCACACATTTAAACCTTGGTTATGTAACAAAAAGATATCTTTAGCAACAATCTGATTCTCTAATAAAAAATATACCGTGAATTTAGGTGAAATTGCTTTATGTGAACTCAAGACGTAAGTAGAGGAAATAATAAACTAATACGTACAATTATCCAACCTATTTTCTGGTGGAAATACAGGGGGGCACCAATGGCTGACTGACAAAGAGCCCTCCGTGGTTGTGTTACGCCATTAACTCACTCTCCCAACAAAACAATACAATACTTTCTTCACAGATGCATAGACTGAAGGATGTTGTTACAATCATTGGTGATCAAAAATAGGCGGCAGGGGAGTGTCATTGGACAGTTCTACAATCTACTCATCATACCAATTCATTAAAAATGCTGAGCCTATTTTTTGCGCTTAAAAGACTCAAATCAGGATTGTCAAGAAAATGTGAGTGTGTGTATTAGAAAAGATGTAATGACTGAAGTCAGACATTCACAATATTTCATAAAATTTGGAATTGGTGCATACAGGATGATATGTTTGTAAATATATAGAGCAATAAATCACACATTGAGCAATGAGAGTGCAGCGGTAGATGAAGAGTCGAGCAAGCTTTTTAAAGAAACTGAATGAGTTATAGTTTATGAAAAAAATCTCATATGAGCAAGGCTAAATCTTTTAAATATAGAATCCATTTATTTATCTATTTGCTTCTCAATTTTATTAAAATGTTCAAAACCTTTCATTTCTTATCACCTGGATTAAAAGACTAATGCTGTTAACTTGCTTAAAATTTTTTGAAAACTGTAAGGATTATCATTTATAATTTGAATTATTATAAAGCTAGCGCTTTTTCCGGTTGTCGTATATAAATTAAAGTTGTCAAAGAGCCAAAGACACACAATAAATTTGATTCAACTTTGAGTGATCTGTTCTGTACTCTGCATAATAAAAAGAGACGTTACATGGTTTAAGAATTGGTAAAAGAACGTTCATGAAGAAAGATGTCACGAGAATTACCTACGAAAACTCAAACTCAGTTAGAGTATTAGAACAAGCTGAATTGCCTCAACGCTTTCAGGTAAATATTCCATTACCTCCCAAATTGGATGTACGTGGGAATTTGGCTTCGAGTTAGAGAAATTCAGAAGAATGTGGAACAACTACGAGATAACTTTGCGCTTGAGAAATGAGTCAAAAAAATAAGAACAGCTCAATTGTTGAAATTGTTGCTCAATTGCATTGGATCAGAAGCGGTTGAAACGTACGAAAGATTAGAGTAAGAAAATGAGCATGAAAAGTTTGACGTTGAAATACTACTTGAAAAACTTAATACTTTTTATGTAGGGGCGACGAATGTCATTTACGAGTCGTAAAATTTTAATAAACAAATAAAAACTAAGTAAATCTTTCGAAGCGTACGTCGCAGAATTATGAGCCTTGGCTAAATCGTGCAATTATGGGC